TGAAAACCTTGGGCCCCAGAGCCACACTCTGTCCACACCACTACTGCCCTCCTTTTCTGTACCACTTTGTACCACTTTGTAGCCTCAGATTCAGAATTTGGGCTAAACAGAGCAGGGCTGCTCAGAAAATAGGGGCCCAAAACTATCTCCAGTGGGAGCTGGGCTCTGCTTCTCACCAGGATTCAAGATTTGTATGTGGGAGTTTCCTAAACACGGGAAGGGTTTCAGATGCTAGGCAACCGAGGGACGACCAGAGGCTTACAGCAGAGCCTCTCAGAGGTCAGGATGGTCCAGACCACTTCCATATTTAGAGGTTCCCGGTATATGAAAAAAAAGTGGCAAAATGCCCAAATGGGATTTAATGGTGGGGCAGCATTCCTAACAAGAAATAAGAAATATAATTGTACCATTCACAAAATAGGTTTAGGATTTTGGTTTTTTGACGGAATTCTTTACAGTATAGAGCCAGAAGTGGGCCACAGGTTTAAAGATGGGTCCTGTCAAGACACTCCTGCAGCTGTGTATTTATCCTCATGAAGTGTTCACACCAGAAGAGTAAGTATGAGGCCTGGGCCAGGTGCCCCTCCAGGCCGGCGCTTCCGCAGGCCCTGGTGCGGGCAGATGGTCCAGAGCTGCTGTGCTCCATGTACAAGATCTGCTCCCGGGTAGCAGCTCCTCCCTACGAGGGCGACCTGGTCGTGCCGGCCTCAGACAAGAGCTGCCCAAGACGTTGTGCAGACGCTACATACCAAAGACGCAAATTACTGCACCCTGGGGCCGTCTAAAATGAATATAGCCGTGTTATTCAATGAGCTGGGCTTGACAACCTCAAGTAAACCTTAACTTTATTCTTCCCCTGCACCCCTTCCTCCTATGGCTAGCATGGCTCCTTGGGTGCCATGGCTTCTTCAGACACTCTTGGACAATGACAAGTCCAATCCAGTTAAATAATCTCATAGCTCCAGGCCAGTGTAACATCAAAATTCCCAATTCTATTTTTTTAACAGATTTATGTTATATGTTATTTATTTATTTATTTAATGGCTGCATTGGGTCTTCGTTGCTGCGTGTGGGCGTTCTCTAGTTGCGGCGAGCAGGGCCTACTCTTCGTTGTGGTGCGCGGATTTCTCATTGCGGTGGCTTCTCTTGTTGCAGGGCACGGGCTCTAGGCATGCGGGCTTCAGTAGTTGTGGCTCGCAGGCTTAGCTGCTCCGCGGCATGTGGGCTCTTCCCGGACCAGGCCTCGAACCCGTGTCCCCTGCATTGCCAGGCAGATTCTTAACCACTGTGCCACCAGGGAAGCCCTCCCAATCCTACTCTAAGTAGTGCTTCTCCTCCCAGCTCTGCAGTGCCTCGGGCTCACAGCCTACAGAGATGGGCCAGACACGGTCCTGTTTCTCTTCTTTCACTCCACCTTCTCTCATCTTCTCTCCTACCTGTTAGCTCTGCTTCAGATCCACTTGGGGTCCCGCCCTATGGGCAGAGAGGAGGCGCTAGGGGCGGCAAATGTCTGGCTGGCCTGGTAGAGTTATGACCTGGAGCAATGCCGTCTGGATGGGACAGACATCTAGTGCCAACTCATTCTCCCATAGGGACCTTTCGCAGGTTCTTGGACCTCCCTGCTCGGCGCCTTGGATGGGGGGTGCCTCCCCGCCTTGGTCACATTTGACCCATTCTCAACCCCTGGGTATCCCCTCTGTAGGATTGCACTGTTCCTCTAGGCTGACCCTTGGATAGGATCATTTATAAAATGACTTTAGGCTGGTTTCTCAGCAAAGGGCCTTCATTTGGTCCAAGGGAGCCACACACATTTAAAGGCTCCATTGTTGGTAGAACAGCAGCTCACTCCAGTGTAGCCTACTCTCCCGTTTTGCTCTGCCAGACCCAGCGAGCCTCTTAGGTTTTGATTTCTCCCAGCAAGCATCTGGCACTAGCCCCTGTACCCCCTAAACTTCAGGGGCATATCCAGCTCTGCCAGTGGCTGTCTTCAAGTCCCTCTATGGTTATTTCATCGGTGAGTAGGAAGCTCCCCCTCTTCTTCCCACTGGGGTCAGAACGTGGCACACTCACAGCTCTCCCAAACAGTCCTCACTGTCTGCCCCTTCCACCTCCCAGCTCCTGGTATTTGGCCGGGGGTGAGCCTCGAGCTACCGCTCACGAAACCAGTTTCCAGAGTCTGCATGGAAGGTCTAACACCATCGGGCTGTGGCGATACTTGGTATGTGTTGATTGACTTTGGCTGAAACTGAAACAGCATAGGTCCTCCTTTTTATGCCCCGTATTCAACTCATAGGTGTGATCCTCCATTCTGTCGTCTGTAAAGAAAGCAGAATGATGCCAACCCCTCAAGATTATTTCACAAGTTAAAGAGATCATCCCTGGGGGAAAGCTTTACCAAACTGTGAAGCACTCCACCTGCTCTGCTGTCTTTGCCAGACAGCCTCACAGGCTAGGGCAATGCTCTCCGTCTTTTTCGGCCACACTATGCAGGACGAATGACGCTCCCTTGTGTATGTAACACCTGCCTTCAGGGAGAACAGTTTTGAGCGGTCCCTAGTGCACCAGTTATAACTTCACCTCTTCTCACTAACTGAAGAACGCTCACTGAACAGTGAGCCAGACTCTCGGCACTTACAGGGACAGCCTTGGCTCTGTGCGTTGTTTTTTTCTTTTTTCTAAGTTACCATTTTAAAATTCCACTATCTAGCTGTTGTGATAGGAGGCTCCTCCCCCAAAAGCACGACACTGTACCTCAGAGGCTGTTGCCATGCATCTCAAGGGTTCACAGGAGCCCTTTAATTTGGGGGAAATCCTGTGCCTGCTCTTTGGGGGCACCCGGAGACCAGGCTGGGAAGGGACCAATAGAGCATGCCAGAATGCCAGAAACCTGACTGCCTTTTGAACTCATTGCTGATGATTCCGTGTGACTGTTCCCAGGAGACAAGACAGACAGGGCTGTGTCTGGGTGTGATGATCCTGTTACTCACCCTGGGGATGCGTTTTCTATATTATATCAGTGGGAGAAATGGCGGTGCCCAAGGGCATGTGCTGGCCCCTCCCCGCGCAGGAGGTAATGACCCTCCCAACACACATCTGTGCATCTGCCCTGGTGGTCGGATTTTTAATGGCCTGCCCTGCTCACATTCTCCCAGTGACACCACACCCATTTTTCTTAGAGAAAACACTTCCGCCTTCCCTGCTTGACGTTTGAGAGCAGCGTAGCCACTTCACCCCTCCTCACTCCAGGGGTGGACACTTGGAGGCCTGAGTGGGTGACGTGATCCATCCCCATAATCCCAGCTGACCTCACAGTGGCCCTTGTGAGTTTTCAGGCAGCTTGAATCTCTGCGCCCTATTCCCTGTTCTAGCTTGGTCAGAATCAATGTGATGAATGTTCTTCCAGTACTATTTCTTTATTTTAAAAAATTGCATAGGGCTTCCCTGGTGGCGCAGTGGTTGAGAGTCCGCCTGCCGATGCAAGGGACACGGGTTCGTGCCCCAGTCCGGGAAGACCCCACATGCCACGGAGCGGCTGGGCCCATGAGCCATGGCCGCTGAGCCTGCGTGTCTGGAGCCTGTGCTCCACAGCGGGAGAGGCCACAACAGTGAGAGGCCCGCGTACCGCAAAAAGGAAAAAAAAAAAAAAATTGCATAATAATACAAGAATATATTCTTATTGTAAAAGAATCCAACAATACAGAAGTAAAATGTGAAAGGCAGCTTCACTTCCCCCTGACACTTTTCCCTTCCTAGTAACCTCTCTTTCATTTATACCCAAATGTGTACATATATAAATATATAGTTCTAAAAAGTGCATAAATGGAATCATGCTATATGTAATGTTCTGAAACTTCATGTTTCACCATGTAATATGCCTTAGTAATCTTTCCATGTCGGTACACATAGATCTACCGTATTCTTTCTGATAGTTACATGGTATTTTATTTTAGGACCATCCTATAACGTATGCAGTCATTCAGGGTCCATTTTCACTTTTCAGTTCCTTTGTTATAACAGACAGTGCTTTGGCGAATATCTATCTATCGATCGATCGATCTATCTATCTAGACCCGTGTGAGTAGTTTGGTTAGATGGAATTTTTAGAAATGTAATTGATATAATTCCTGGGTCAAAGAGAGGCACTTCTTTAAATTTTTTGATAGATATTTTCATATTACCTTCATGAAAATGTTCAGTAATGTACATTCCCACCAACTGTGTATGAGAGTACCCATTTCCATGCACCTTCTCCAATACTGGATTTTTTTTTTTTTTTGGCAGAACTGTGCGGCATGTGAGATCTTTGTTCCCTGACCAGGGATCGAACCCGTGCCCCCTGCAGAATCACAGAGTCTTAACCACTGGACCGCCAGGGAGGTCCAACACTAGATATTTTGAATCTTTAACATTTTTGCTCATAGGATGGGTAAGAATGATGGTATCTTGTTGTTTCAGTTTACATTTTGAGGATTCTTTCAACTTAGGTGATGCAAGTCCATTTCATATAAATATGGGAAATGATGGAGTATTCAGTAAATAATACTGGGGTAGTTGACTGTCTATTTGGAAAAGTTACAAATAGACAACAAAAGTAAATTCAAGTGTTTTAAAGATTGAATATATTTTTCAAAAATATAGAAGTTGTATAGACATTATACAATTTCTTAAGCTTTCGAAATGAGAAGCCTTTTTCCTAGTGTGATATAAACATAGAAGTCATCAAAGAAATGACAAACAAGCACATTAAAAATATAAAAAAAAATATATATAAAGCTATGGAAAAATTATTCACAAAATAAGACCACTGTCTTTCTACATATATAACTGCTAAAGGGTTTATATACTAACATTCAAAGAACTTCTGCAAATCAAATAAGAAAAAACCAAGTATAGAAACATAAATTACTGGATTTCCCTGGTGGCGCAGTGGTTAAGAATC